GCCTTTTTTTTAGGGAGTGTCTTATGGAACAATAAAAAACCGAAAAAAAATAAGCATCCTCGTCTTCCTCATCCTCTTCTTCCTCTTCTTCCTCCTCCTCCTCCCCAGACAGGAGCGAAGAGCCCTTCCGGGAGCCTTCCGCACCGCCTTCCATCTCCAGGAGTTGCAGCAGAGAGACCGAGGCGGCGGTTTCACGGGCTTTCGGGACGGGAGGAGGCACCGCGGTAGCGGCGGCGCGCGGGGGGGTGCCTTTCGCGACCGGGAAGCTTCCGATGCATGGGAACAAGAAGGGAGTTCGAGACCCGGGGGGTACGCGGAAGAGAAGAAGCGGGTACCATGCGTCGCAGGCGGCGGGGCCAATAGAGGGGGCGGGCGCCGTTGCGGGATCGATCGGGGGGGGGGGGGTCAGCATCCCCGGGCGCGTCCTCCTGGACGGGTGCTGCCTGCTTCTGAGGATTTCGAGTTGGGTGGCGTTCTTGGTGGTGGCCGTCCTGGAGAGCAAGGTCGTCTGGACGCCCCTGGGAGATGAGCTGTGAGAGCTTTGCGTCACACTGGAATGCAACACAGGTTTATTCATAGCTGTTTCTGGAAGTGAACCCACCAGGACATTCGCAGCGTTTATCCGTACTCGAGAAAGCAAGCACAACTCCCTTCGCAGGATGCAGCGCACCCTCCATGCGAATCGCCTGCTCTTACCTCACGGCGCTTCGTGCTTGGTGTTGAGCGTTGAGGTGTGCGCCCTGGGAATAGCATGTGGTACCATATTGTAGTTTTTTTTTTGACGCTTCCTAGCTCGGCTGCTCCACGGACGTCGGACGTGCCCTGCCCCGGTTCTATTAAGTTACGAGCGACGATTGTTTTTATTTTCGCCAGAGGCGCACAAAAGTATAGCACACCTTGGTGGTCTACTGTATGGGGGAGGGTGACCTCATGTCGCTTGATCTGAGACCGTGCTATTTTCCCGGGTGTATCCCCGCACTGTGAGTTTTGTGACACTTGTTGAACCCCTACCCGGAATTCCTGCGAGTTCTGTGACGCACACTATTCCACGTCCTACCTGACAATTCTGTGAGTTTTTTCATTTCTTCCAACGGCCTACCCGGCATTTTACACCAACGCCTTTAAAGAGCGCATAACTTTGAGTTTGACAGGACTTCCATGCCTCTCCCGTAAAATTGCAACAATCCATTTGACAGGACATGCGCCCTTGCTTGCAAAAGTTCCTCTGGGTATATACCCATACCCTGCACTTCCGTGAGGTCTGTGACGCTTTTGAAACCTTACCCGATACTTTCGTGAGTTCTGTAAGGTCTCTTTCATCAAACCCTTACAGCACACGCTCCCTTGTAGGATTTGTTTTTTGCGAGTTCTCAAAACCTTCAAAAGACCCTCCCCTCAAATTTCAGCAAGCCTTGTAGCACACGCCTCTCGGTCGGAGGGAATTGTTTTGTGAGCTTTGAAAGACTTCAAAAGACCCTACCCTCAAATTTCAACATACCCTTACAGCACATGCCCCTTTGGAGGAATATTGTATGGGTTTTAAAATGCATGAAAAGGCCTTCCCCGCATATTTCAACACACCCTTACAGAACACGCCCCTGTCCTTCCTTGCATATTATCGAACTCTGGACTCAGGTGGCGTTCGCCCTCCGACGCATCGTTGGTCTGCGCGCACCTCGCGGCTCGGCTCAGGGGCGCCCTGTCTCTGCCGCTGCGGCTGAGCAGGTGCTGGAAGGAGCGGCACCAGCCCGCGGAGAGACGGGTAAGTTTGGCAAACGAACAGCCCTGCCGCCTTACTCTCAGTTTGGCAAACGAACAGCCTTTGCTGTGTAACCTTCACCCTGTTGCCCTCAGCTTGGCGAACCAACAGCCCTTGCCGCCTATCCCGACATAACCCTATTACCCTCAGTTTGGCTTACGAACAGCCCTTGCCGTCTAACCCTACCCCTAGTGCCCTCAGTTTGGCAAATGAACAGCGCTTTTGCCGTACCGAACCACCGATGAGCCGCGGGTTTGTGTTCCACCTACTCAAGGAGATTTATCCGCAGGAAGAATGACCTCGTGTGAGTGAGTTTTGGCAAACGGACAACCATGTCGTACTTTTGGGCCGCGATTGGCAACAAACAACCCTTGCCGTACTACGATTTGGCAGCGGTTCTTAGGAAGTACGAAGTACACACAAAATGACAGAGTGCACCTAAGTCCCTGAGAGAAAGATGACTACCCGTTGAATATATAGCCACACTGGTCGAAGGAGATGTGCTCAAGTCCTGACGACAGTGAGTGGGCAAAAACCCGGCTGGATATTGGGCTTGCTTTTGAAGGCTACAGCATTGGTTTTGTGCAGCGCACCCAGTTCAGGAGGTTTCTCTGTGTAGCGTACCTTTGGCATTTTTCCACATGGCCAGCAGCCAGTCAACGCGTGAGTTTGGCAACGGCGACCGAGGAGTCTTTTGGTTTTGAGACCCGTGCTGGTGATGGGGTGGGCGTTGGTAGTGGTACCGTGGGTGACGTAAGATAACACACCCCCTGGACCGATCAGATGACAGCTCGATTGCTCCACGGCAAACAGGGTGGCAGAAAAAGATGATCGGCTGTCGGAAAGCTCTCGACGAGCCGGTTCTAACGCCGCCGCTTCATGGCACCGTCACCTATCTTCTGCTGTGTGGAGTATTCGAGCTTCGGTAATCGTTCGACGGCGTATGGCATATTTCGTCACCTACTGCGGTCTCCGCGTTCGCCCTTGACGGAGACGATGTTCTCATCTCAACTAATGACACACACCCCTATGTAAATAATATCCACACCGCGGAGCCCCCGAGGACTTTCTACAAGTAAGTGTGACTGCCATTGACCAACAGCACCTTGTGTAACTCCTTCCGTTGGCCAGCAGGTGGAAGGGCTCGTGGGGCTGAGCCACTGGCTTTTCGGGGTCGCCGCCGACGCCGCCCTTGGCGTCGTCGCGTGCGCGCTGCTGCTGAGGCACACGGAGGCCGCGGCAAGGGCTGCTCACCAGGCTCTTCACCTGCTACACGTTGACGTACGTGAGAGTTTTTTTTTTTTTTCGGAGGCGTTTTTTTTTCGTGCTGGGGCGAAGGAGGGAAGAGGGGTTCTACCGAGAGCCCGGCGAGCAGTATATTCTCGAAGTGCGTGAGGTGTGTGAGGTGGTTGTTTGAGTGTGTGTGTGCCAGGCAACTGTGTATCTGTTCTGTTGGCCTCATCAAAAGCCTAACTCAACCAAATGGGCTGGTCCGTGGTAACCGGCTGGCCAATCAAAAGACGTTTGTAAACCTCTGTGCGGATAATAATCGTTGTCGGCACTGTTGTTTGATGATGGCGTGAGCACGTCCCACCGCTCCCCAACAACAACCACCCACTCAACCATCCTTACAGGTGCTAAGTGAAGAGCTAGAGTGGCTCAACTACTTCCCAGCGGGGTTCAAGCTCAACGTTCCCCTGACGCACACCTTGGGGTCTCTGACTCTCGTCGGCATGGAGGCCTACGCCTCCATCGTCGGACAGCTGGCCCAATGGGAGGTGGGCAGTGGGCCCCATGAAGATTTTGTTTGCTGCACGTCATCGTTTGTTGTTGTTGTTGGTCGCGGTTCGTGGTGGTGGTGTTGCTGTTGCTGTTGCTGTTGCTGTGCTTTTGCTGTTGCTGTTGCTCTGTTGTTGCTGTTGTAGTTGCTGTTGTAGGTGCTGTTGGTTGTTGTAGTTGCTGTTGGTGCTGCCGCTGCTGTTGTTGTTGTTGTTGTTGTTGTTGTTTGATGCTGCTCTTTCGGTGACCATTGGTTTTTGTGCTTGCTTGGTTTGCACAATGTGTAATAACCTCTACATACCCCGTCCGGCTAGGAGTTGACGAAACATCCGCGATGACATACTTTCCCTTCAGCAATATACGTGCTTATACATCCTTCTATTGTGTGTCAGGGCGCCGCGATGAAGGCGATAGCGATCTGCGCGGCCGGCGGGGGCCTCACCACCGCCCTCGCCGTCGCGCACGACATCCTCAGGCTTCTCGCCCTGCACACGGCCACCGCCCACACCGCCTTCGCCGCCCTTCACAACCTGCACAGGTGGGAAAGAAAAGAGGGCGGAATGTTGGTTGTGCGTAAAAGGTATACGGCGGTGAGGCCGGTCGTTATATAAGTCACGTTGTTTTCGTTTTGTCCTAAGGACTGGCGATGTGTTGACTAGATCCATCAACGATGGTGTCATCTGTTGGACCTGACACACTGCGGTGCCACGTGAGTGGCGGTGTGAGCAAGGGAGACGTGCCATGTAGGGGCAGGGCGAACAGCGTGGTGCACGGAGCGCCCTAGCCAAATAGACGAAAACGCGTGGTACGCACCTGCAAAACCTCCTTCGCTTTCGTGAACCGCTATTTGTCCCACCGAGGCTAGAAGCGTGATGTGCCTGCCACAGCGTTCTTCCGCGAAACGCTTTGGTGAACCGCTATTACTGCCAGCTAGGCGAGAAGGCGTGATAAGTATCTGCAACAACCCTTTCGTGAACTGCTATCTATCCTCTCCGACCGATGTTAAGAATTCCTCCGCGTGCGCGCGTGTGTGTGTGTTAATTTCTTCCTCCGATATTTACAAAGCTCTCTGCTGGGGTCCCTGTGGCAGCTGTTCCGGGGCCGCAAGCGGAACGTCTTGAGGTGCCGGGTGGACACGTGCATGTACGACGCCTGCCAGCTGCTGCTCGGCACCCTCGTCTTCACGGTGTTGTCGTTCCTCACACCCACCATCTCGGTGTACTACACCTTCTTCTGCATCGTGCAGGCCGTCGCCGTCGGAGGGCAGGTGCGCCCCCCCTCCCCCCCCCCGCATTGAACGGCAATTGCAATGGACGCTAATTATCGGAGAGGCATCTTGAACTTTCCCTCCCATACAGGGGTAGTTTTTTTTGGCATT